TCTTGGGATGGATAAGGCACAAGTAGTATAATGCATAAAGGAAAAAAATGATAAACTGAACTTCAGCCAATTAAAAACTGACTTTTTGAAAGATATCATTAAGAAAAATACAAGCCAAGTCACATACTGGGAGAAAATCTTACAAAAGACTTGTATATAGTTTATATTAAGAATTTCTATAACTATGTAATAGAAAAAGCAAACAACCCCATAAATATGTGCAAAATGTTTGAACAGACACTTTAAAAAGGAGAAATATGAATGTCCCATAATCACATGAAACACTGTCCAATATAATTAGTCATCAGGGAAATACAAATTAAAACCATAATGCACACATTCAAATGACTAAAATGAAAAAGACTGGCAATAACAAAAGTTGATGATGATAAGGAACAGCTACCACTCTCATACACAGATGTTTGAAATGTAAAATAATACAATATTTGGGAAAGCAGTTTGATATTTTATTATAGATTTAACAGCAAATTAACATATGACCCAGCAATCTTACTCCTAGATATTTACCCAACAGAAATGAAAACATAAGTCAACAAAGATTTGAACATGAATATTCTTTGGAAGCATTTTTCATAACAGTCACAAATGAAAACAACCTAAATGTTCATTAATAATTTCACAGATAAACACTCCATTATATAAATATAATGAAGACCACCTAAACACATCATAAGTTTTTTTGTTAAAAACCAAATATAAGGTCATAATGCCTTTGTAGATACAACACAGATGGGCTCTATGGATCATCTGGCTAGGTATGGCAGGCAGAAGCAGAATTAGGCACTGAAGTCTTCAGTGACAATGGGACAGATGGTTAAAAATAGAACTACCCTATGATCCAGCAGTATTATATTGGGTATTTACCCAAGGATACAAAAATACTGATTTGATGGGATACAAGCACCCCAAGGTTTATAGCAGCATTATCAACAGTAGCCAAATTATGGAGAGAGCCCAATTGTCCACTGACTGATGAATGGATAGAGAAAATGTACACACACACACACACAGAGTGTTACTCAGTTATCAAAAAGAATGAAATCTTGCCATTTGCAACAACATGGATGGACCTAGAGAGTATAATGCTAAGTGAAATAAGTCAGTCAGAGAAAAACAAATGCCATATGATTTCCCTCACATGTAGAATTTAAGAAATAAAACAGTGAACTTAGTGGGGAAAGAAAGAGGCAAACCATAAAAGAGACTCTTAAGTATAGAAAACAAACTGAGGGTTTATGGAGGTAAGGTGGGCAGGGGATGGTCTAAATGGGTGATGGGTTTTAAGGAGGGCATTTGTTGTGATGAGTACTGGGTGTTATATATGTGATGAATCGCTGAATTCTACTATTGAAACTAATATTACATTGTCTGTTAACTAACTGGAGTTTAAATGAAAATTTAAGAGAAAACTTAAGAGAGAAAAAAACAATTTCACACAGTTTTAACAAAACATTAATGTAGATTTCTGAATTTCAGAATTATTTTAATTTTTTAAGAAAAGAAATAAAAACACATTTGACCAGATGGACTAATAGATCAACATTCCATCCAAAAACGCAAGAATACATATTTTTCTCAAGTGCACATGAAACATTCTCCGTTTTAGATCATGTATTGTCCACAAAGGACATCTCAGTAGTATTAAGAAGACTAAAATCTTGTCAAGCATCTTTTCTGACAAAGGTATGAAAGAAGAAATCAATTGCAAGAAGAAAACTGGAAAAATTACAAATATGTGGTGGCAAAACAATATACTAGTGAAGAACCAATAGGTCAATGAAGAAATTTTTTAAAAAATCAAAATATACCTTGAGACAAATGAAAATTTAAATGCAACACAGAAAAATGTATGTGATGCAGCAAAAGCAGTTCTAAGTGGGAAATACAAAGCAATATAGGCTTATCTCAAGAAACAAAAAAATCTCAAACAATCTAACTTTATAGTTATAAAAGGAGGTTATAAAGAAGAAAGCTAGTAGAAGGAAGAAAATTAAAAAATCAAATGGAAATAAATTAAATGGAGACTGAAAACTCAATAGAAAAGATCAATGGAAACTAAGAGCCAATTCTTTCAAAAGATTAAATATATGACAAACTTTTAGCTAGACTCACCAAGAAAATGAGGTTTCATAAATAAAATTAGAAATGGAAAAGGAGAGGTTACAACTGATACCAAGAAATACAAAAGTTCATAAGAGATTACTATGAAAAATTATATGCCCATAAATTGAACAACCTGGTAAAAATGGATAAATTCCTAGAAATACATATGCCAAAACTGAATTATGAAGAAATAGAAAATGTGAATAGATTGACTACTAATAAAGAGATAGGGTCGGTAAACAAAAACCTCCTAAGAATCATAAGACCAACCTGACCATTCTCTAACACCATACACAAAGATAAACTCAAAATGGATGAAAGACCTCAATGTGAGACAGGAATCCATCAAAATCCTAGAGGAGAACATAGGCAGTAACCTCTTTGACATCGGCCACAGTAACTTCTTTCAAGATATATCTCCAAAGGCTGGTGAAACAAAAGCGAAAATGAACTTTTGGGTCTTCATCAAGATAAAAAGCTTCTGCACAGGAAAGGAAACAGTCAACAAAACAAAGAGGCAACCCACAGAATGGGAGAAGATATTTGCAAATGACACTACAGGCAAAGGTCTGATTTCCAAGATCTATAAAGAACTTCTCAAACTCAACACCCAAAAAACAAATAATCAAGTCAAAAAATGGGCAGAAGACATGAACAGACACTTCTCTAAAGACTTACAAATGGCTAACAGACACATGAAAAAATGTTCATTATCATTAGCCATCAGGGAAATGCAAATCAAAACCACATTGAGATACCACCTTACACCAGTTAGAATGGCAAAAATTGACAAGGCAAGAAACAACAAATGTTGGAGAGGTTGTGGAGAAAGGGGAACCCTCTTGCATTGTTGGTGGGAATGCAAGTTGGTACAGCCACTTTGGAAAACAGTGGGGAGGTGCCTCAAAAAATTAAAATAAAGGTACCCTATGACCCAGCAATTGCACTCCTGGGTATTTACCCCCAAAACACAGATGTAGTGAAAAGAAGGGCCATATGCACCCCAATGTTCATAGCAGCAATGTCCGCAATAGCCAAACTGTGGAAAGAGCTGAGATGCCTTTCAACAGACTAATGGATAAGGAAGATGTGGTCCATATATACAATGGAATATTACTCAGCCATCAGAAAGGATGAATACCCAACTTTTACATCAACATGGATGAGACTGGAGGAGATTATGCTAAGTGAAAGAAATCAAGCAGAGAAAGTCAATTATCATAGGGTTTCACTTATTTGTGGAACATAAGGAATAGCATGGAGGACATTAGGAGAAGGAAGGGAAAAATGAAGGGAGGGAAGTTGGAGGGGGAGATGAACCATGAGAGACTATAGACTCTGAGAAACAAACTGAGGGTTTCAGAGGGGAGGAAGTAGGGGGATAGGTTAGCCCAGTGCTGGCTATTAAGGAAGGCACATACTGCATGGAGCACTGGGTGTTATACAAAAACAATGAATCATGGAACACTACGTCAAAAACTAATGATGTACTGTATGGTGACTGACATAACATAATAAAATTAAATTAAATTAAAAAATGAAAAGAATCATAAGACCAAGACCAGATGGCTTCACTGATGAATTCTTCCAAACATTCACAAAAGGTTTAATACTTACTTTCCTAAACTCTTCCTGAAAACTGTAGAGGAGGGAACATTTTCAAATTTACTTGATGAGGCCTGAGTGCAAATTATTCAGGCGCTTAAGTATCTATCCATTACACACTTTATTCATCTTTCATGCATATATTTCATGTGTATTTTATATCACAATGAAATGATAAGTATGATATAAATATTTATTGTTAAAGTGGGCAGAGAACTTCCTTTCAAGGGAACTAAAATATACTAAAGTATGTTTTAAGAAAGAGAACATAATTTAAATGAAATTCAGAAGGGAACTGTGACATGCAAAGAAATACTAATAACCAAAAGGAACAATAGGTAAAATAAAGAAAGTATTTTCAGAATAAAATCTTCAGGGTATTTTCTAATGAAAAACACAGAGGTGACAGAAATGTACTGTTTACAAGAATTTTATGTAAGTTAAATCTCATTATTTTGGAGGTGGCCTAGATATGGTTAAATATGTATGCTAAGAATGCAAGAATAATCACTAGAGGAAAATAAAAAGTACAGATCCACTAAATTGTTGCAATAAATGGTGGAAGAAAGAAAAACAAAGCATGAAGTTTCAAAAGAAATGAACAAAAATTCAATTAAAAAACAAATGTGGCAAAATGAACATAGAAAATATGAAAATTTTGAGACAACTAAACATAAAAAGTATGCAGTCTAGAGGAGTGTAAGGAGTCATAACAGCTAAATGTAATGAGGTATCTTAGAGAAGATCTTGGTATCAGAAAGAGGCTATTTGGTAAAAAGAAAAGAAATCCGAATACATTATGGAATTTGGTTAATTAAAAATATGCAAAAATATTGATCACAATAATATTTAAGAGGATAATATGATAAATCAAAGACAGATTGGATAGTAAATCAAAATCCAATGTAGATCTTGAGCTTACTAGTACAGAAAAACTAAATGAGAAGGGAGAAATATCAGGGAAATACTGACTAACAAAAGCTAATTTGTGTATAGATATATAGATATGTGAGACCAAATAGACTTTAAAACAGAAAACAACATTAGAGATAAAGAGATTTGGCATTTGAATATAAAAGTTAAATTTCTAGGAAGATATAACAATCATAATATAAGTCTCCACTGTAGAAAGCAGCTTCAAAAAACAAAGTATAGATTGAAGAATATATACTGAGAATTGGGCAAATCCAACAGCATAGTTGCCACATTTGTTTTTTAATGAGAAACACAAAAACAAATCTTTAAATGAATTACAAATGTATATTACTAACCTCTGCAAGGCCGCAGTCACATTGTTCAGGAGGTTCCAAAATTCCATTGCCACAAGCTGCTGTACTTCTTCCTTGGTAAACCACTTCTGAAACTGTTTGATTCCGAAGACATTCAAAGTCAGGCTGTGAAACCATATGTTTAAATTCATCCATGCTGCAACTGCTAAAAAACCTTACACCATGGGAAAGTCTAAAAATAAATTATATTCCTCAGATAAATGGAATAAAATGGAATAAAATCACTATCAAAGTAACATTCTATGAATTACTGAAAAGTACCATAAATTCTGTAATACTGCACTTACAGAGGAGCCAAGAAGGAAGGGAGAGGATTTCTATCTTTAATACAAGTTGTAAATAAAAGCAATAAGTTTATTTCTATTGTAATTCAATATAACAGACATCTAGCAAGTAGAGGAAGTTAAGGTGACATGAGTTAAAATATATTAAAACACAAATAATGTTTGCCACACAAAAAATCTCTCCTTAACTATGTTCTACTATTATTTTCATTATGATTGCCAACATCCCAATTATAATCATTATTATAAGCACTAATTATAAGAAAATGAAACATACTAGAAAAATTTATGTGGAAAACTGAAGAAATAACAATGGTGTTACAGGAAAAATGAGAATCATTTGTATTTTGATAACAAAATTAATCAATTAAAATACCTCAACACTAATTATATAAAATGTATAAGCCCTAGATTTGTTTTATTTTGTTACCTTTTGAAATATTTCTGTACTTCTACATGTACTATTTAATGAGTTTTTATTTCATTTTGTAACAATCTACAACTTAGAGAAATCACAAAAAATAGACCAAAAAATAAATTTTTCCCAAAACAATGAATAAGTTGCCAAACATGATCCTAATAACTCTAAATATTTTAATGTATAATTCCTACATAGACATTAATTCTAAAAAAGACCCTTCAAAATCAGGAAATAATGTCATCCAAATTTCACCATCGTCACAATATTGGCCCTTTATAGCAAAAAGATCCAGTTGAGAGTCAACCATCGCATTTTGTTTTTCAATTTTTTTCTCTCCAAATTTTTATTTAAATTCCAGTTAGTTAACATGCAGTGTAACATTGCTTTCTGGTATAGAACTTAGTGATTCATCACTTACATGAGACTCCCAGTGGTCATCACAACAATGCTCTTCTTAATATCCATCACCCACTTAACCCATCCCCCCACCCTACCTCCCCTCCAGCAAACCTCAGTTTTATTCCTATAGTTAAGAGTCTCTTTTATGGTTTGCCTCTCTGTTTTTCCCCTAAGTTCACTGTTTTATTTCTTAAATTCTACATGTGAGGGAAATCATATGACATTTGTTTTTCTCTGACTTATTTGGTATAACATAATACTCTCTAGATCCATCCACACCATTGCAAATGGCAAGATTTCATCCTTTTTATGGCTGAGTAATATCCCATTGTGTATATATACCACATCTTCTTTATCCATTCATCAGTCAATGACCACTTGGGCTCTCTCCATAATTTGGCTACTGATGATAATGCTGTTATATAAACCTCAAAGTGCATGTATCCCATAAAATCAGTATTTTTGTATCCTTTGGTAAATACCCAGGTATGCAACTGCTGGATCATAGGGTAGTTCTATTTTTAACTTTTTGAGGAAACTCCATACTATTCTCCAGATTGGCTGCAGCAGTTTGCATTCCCACCAACGTGTTAAGGAGAGTTCCCCATTCTCTGCATCCTTGCCAACACCTGTTTCTTGTGTTGTTAATTTTAGCTATTCTGACAGGTGTGAGGTGATATCTCATTGTTGTTTTGATTTATATTTCCCTGATGATGAGTGATGAGCATCTTTTCATGTGTCCATTAGCCATCTGGTTGTCATCTTTGGAAAAATGTCTGATCATATCTTCTGCCCATTTCTTGACTGGATTTGTTTTTTGGGTGTTGAGTTCATTGATAGGTTCTTTATAGATTTTGGATACTAACCCTTTATCAGATATGCCCTTTGCAAATATCTTCTCCCATTCTGAAGGTTGACTTTTAGTTTTGTTGATTGTTTCCTTCACTGTGAAGAAGGTTTTATCTTGATGAAATCCCAATAGTTCATTTTTGCTTTTGTTTCCCTTGCCTCCGGCAATATGTCTAGTAGGAAGTTGCTATGGCTGAGGTCAAAGAGGTTGCTGTCTGTGCTCTCCTATAGGATTTTGATGCTTTCAGGTCTCACATTTAGGTCTTTCATTCATTTTGAATTTATTTTTGTGTATGGCATAAGAAAGTGGTCCAGTTTCATTCTTCTGCATGTTGCTATCCAGTTTTCCCAGCACCATTTGTTGAAGAAACTTTTTTCCATTGGATATTCTTTCCTGCTTTGTCAAAGATTAGTTGACCATAGAGTTGAGGTCCATTTCTGGGCTCTCTCTTCTGTTACATTGATCTTTGTGTCTGTTTTTGTGCCAGTACCATACTGTCTTGATGATGACAGCTTTGTAATAGAGCTTGAAGTCCAGAATTGCGAAGTCACAAGCTTTGCTTTCTTTTTCAACATTCCTCTGGCTATTCGGGGTCTTTTCTGGTTCCATACAAATTTTAGTATTATTTGTTCCATTTCTTTGAAAACAGTGGATGGTATTTTGATAGGGATTGCATTAAATGTGTAGATTGCTTTAGGGAGCATTGACATCTTCACAATATTTGTTCTTCCAATCCATGAGCATGGAACATTTTTCCATTTCTTTGTGTCTTCCTCAGTTTCTTTCATGAGTATTTTATAGTTTTCTGAGTACAGATCCTTTGCCTCTTTGGTTGGATTTATTCCTAGGTATCTTATGGTTTTGGGTGCAGTTGTAAATGGGATCGACTCCTTAATTTCTCTCATGAGTATTCCATAGTTTTGAGTACAACAGACCTTTGCCTCTTTGATTAGATTTATTCCTACTATCTTATGGTTTGAGGTGCAGTTGTAAATGGGATTGACTCCTTAACTTCTCTTTCTTCTGTCTTGTAGGTGTATAGAAATGCAACTGATTTCTGTGCATTGATTTTATATCCTGCCACTTTACTGAATTCATGTATGAGTTCTAGAAGTTTTGGGGTGGAGTCTTTTCCGTTTTCCACATAAAGTATCATATCATCTGCAAAGAGTGAGAGTTTGACTTTGCCAATTTGGATGTTTTTGTTTCATTTTGTTGTATGATTGCTGAGGCTAGGTCTTCTAGTACCATGTTGAATAGCAGTGGTAATAGTGGACATCCCTGCTGTATTCCTAACCTTAGGGGGAAAGCTCTCAGTTTTTCTCCTTTGAGAATAATATTCGCTGTGGGTTTTTCATAGATGGCTTTTAAGATGCTGAGGTATATATCCTCTATCCCTACACTGCGAAGAGTTTTAATCAAGAAAGGATGCTGTACTTTGTCAAATGCTTTTTCTGCATCTATTGCGAGGATCATATGGTTCTTGTTCTTTCTTTGATTAATGTGTTGTATCACATTGACTGATCTGCGGATGTTGAACCAACCTAGCAACACAGGAATAAATCCCACTTGATCGTGGTGAATAACCCTTTTAATTTACTGTTCTATCTTATTGGCTAATATTTAGGTGAGAATTTTTGCATCCATGTTCATCAAGGTTATTGGTCTGTAATTCTCTTTTTTGGTGTGGTCTTTGTCTGGTTTTAAGATCAAGGTAATGCTGGCCTCATAAAATGAGTTTGGAAGTTTTCCTTCCATTTCTATTTTTTGGAAAAGTTTCAGAAGAATAGGTATTAATTCTTCTTTAAATGTTTGGTAGAACTCCCCTGCGAGGCCATCTGGCCCTGGGCTCTCGTTTGTTGGAGATTTTTGATGACTGCTTCAATTTCCTTAGTGGTTAGGGGTCTGTTCAGGTTTTCTATTTCTTCCTGCTTCAGTTTTGGTAGTGTATACATCTCTAGGAATGTATCCATTTCTTCCAGATTATCTAATTTGCTGGCATATAATTGCTCATAATATGTTCTTATAATTAATTGTATTTCTTTTGATTGTGATCTCTCCTCTTTCATTCATGATTTTATTTATTGGGTCCTTTCGCTTTTCTTTTTGATAAGTCTGGCCAGGGATTTATTGATCCTATTCTTTCAAAGAACCAGCTCCTAGTTTTGTGGATCTGTTCTACTGTTCTTTTGGTTTCTATTTCATTGATTTCTGCTCTCATCTTTATTATTTCTCTTCTCCTGCTGGGTTTTGGCTTTATTTGCTGTTCTTTCTCCAGCTCCTTTAGGTGTAGGGTTAAGTTGTGTATTTGAGACCCATCTTATTTCTTGAGAAAGGCTTGTATTGCTACACACTTTCCTCTTAGGACTGCTTTGCTTCCATGAATTTTTTTAATTCTTCTTTAATTTCCTGGTTGACCCATTCATTCTTTAGTAGGATGCTCTTTAGCCTCCATGTATTTGAGTTCTCTCCAACTTTCCTCTTGTGACTGAGTTTTAGTTTCAAAGTGCTGTGCTCCAAAAATATGCAGAGAATGATCACAGTATTTTGGTAACAGTTGAGACCTGATTTGTGACCCAGGATGTGATATATTCTGGAGAATGTTCCATGGGCACTAGAGAAGAATGTGTATTCTGTTGCTTTGGGATGGAATATTCTGAATATATCTGTGAAGTCTATCTGGTCCAATGTGTTATTTAAATCCTTTAATTCCTTCTTGATCTTTTGCTTAGATGATCTGTCCATTTCAGTGAAGGGGGTGTTAAAGTCCCCTACTATTATTGCATTATTGTTGATGTGTTTCTTTGATTTTATTATTAATTGGCTTATATAATTGGCTGTTCCCATGTTAGGGGCATAGATATTTACAATTGTTAGATCTTCTTGTTGGATAGCCCCTTTAAGTAGGATATAGTGTCCTTCCTCATCTCTTATTATAGTCTTTTGTTTAAAATTTAATTTGTCTGGGTGGGATGGAGCAAAATGGCAGAGGAGTAGGAGACTTGGATTTCGTCTGGTCCCAGGAGTTCAGCTGGATAGGGATCAAACCATTCTAAACACCTACGAACTCAACAGGAGATCAAAGAAAAGAATAGCAACAACTCTCTGAACAAAAAAGTGACCACTTTCTGGAGGGTAGGACGTGCGGAATGTGAATCTGAGGTGATATTCAGGAGGATAGACTTTGGGGGAGGGGGCCTCTGTCGGCTGTTTTTGAC